CCCACATCCCTTATGAACCGTTGCTCTCAGCATATTCACACTGTGTCTTGTCATGGAAATGTGTCTCTCTCAACCCTCCCCCACCAACATCCGCTCCATGGGACCCTGGGTTGGAGAGACACACCCAGGACCATGAGGCAATTTGTCTGGGCCTCAGCCTCTTGCAAGCACTGGATCTACCAGCCTGCAAGCTCTTCATTAACATTTGCTTATCAACCACCTTCTCCCCTATGAGTCAGGCCCCGGAGCCCTCAGTGAGTGCAAGTCTAGCAGCTACAGAACCTGAACCACAAAGAACCCGGAAGGGGCTGGGAGACAGAGCGCCTGATGGTGAGGGGAGGGAAGATGACTTTCTGCGGTGACAGGAGGGATGGCGGAAGCCAGAAGTCAGGGCTGAGAGAAAAGGTGGGATATATTCGCCTGGATGTGGAAAGAGATACTGAGACGGGCTCGTGGGGAAGAAGGGACAGTGTGAGCAAAAGCTTGGAGGGAAGAGGGTTTGGGGGTCTGTTTGGGGAGTAGAAGTAGTGCAGGGTCTGCAGAGGGATGGATGGAGAGAAGACAGAACAGGTGGTTGGGGCAGAGCCCTAGAACGCCGGAAATGCTGTGGAAAGATCTTGTTTTGCACGGAAAGAGAGGATGAGGGCCCTGCTTAGGCAAGGTTGTGGGAGGAGAGATGAAGACAAATGACAATTTTAGAGCTTCTCCTGCGTGCCAGACGTGCCAGATGCTCTGCCTGTATTATCCCACCTAATTGTTTTACCACCTAAGGAACTAAGTTTCAGGCTTTCCATTTTATAGACAGGGAAACTGAGGCCCAGATGGTTTGCATAGCTTGCTCTAGGTCCCTGGTAAGATGAGAACCAAGAGACTCACTTCTGCTTGTAGCCCTCCAGTGCGTCCTGGAGGCTGCAGAGCTCTGACTCCAGCCTGGCCCGGTCCCCGGCCACGCAGTCCAGCTGCCTCCGGAGGGTGCAGATGTAGGCCTCGAAGATGGGCTCGATGTTGCTCTGGCAGCACCTCTGCTGCTGCAGGAAATTCCACTTGGTCTCCAGCAGCTTGTTCTTCTGCTCCAGGAACCGGACCTGCAGCCGAGAACGGGATGTCACGGGGCAGCAGGGACCCTGGGGACCATGGCTGGGAGAGACTAAGTGGTGGTGGGGGCAGTGGAATCAGTTGGTGCTGTGTCTCGCAATATACTGCCGCCAGGTGCTAAAGGTTGCAAGGATTAGGGTCTCTGCGTAGACTGGCACCTGAGGATATGTCTCTGTGTCTCCCCTGCCTGGGAGAGCTTATAGGACCCCACCTTCCACCCAGGGGGTCCACATGTTAGAGTGGAAAGAGTGTGCTGTCCCAAGAGCCTGGGCAGGTCCACCTTCCAGCCCTGCCTGCCTGCCTCCCACCAGCCTTGTAACCATAGCTGAGCCAGCCCATCCTTTTGAGCCTCACTTTGCTTCCTAACGCTCCTCCTTGGGATGGTGTGCAGGAAGCACTTTGTAAATCTTCATACTAGCGTAAGCTGGAGATGTTATACTGGGGAGTCAGGCCCAGGGGTACTCAGGGGAGAAGAAGGGCAGATCAAAGGCTCTGTCCCCACCCTCTGAGCTCTTTTCACCTCCTCCACCGAATCCTGCAAGGCTGCCTTCAAAAAGCATCCCTGTCACAGTAATGTGGACAGCTGCTGGCCCACCTTCTCCATTTGCGTGGCCTGGGAACCCAGATTAGGAGAAGCTAGGCGAGTTGACCATGGTCCTCCAGCTGGTCACTGGCAGAGGGAACAGGGTCTCCAGTCCTCGCCCTGGGATTTCCCATATTGCACACTGTCTCAAGAAAATTGCGGAGGAAGTAATGTTGCCCTACTTCCGGTCAACGGCTGCATCCCCAGGAGGCCCCCAGCCTCACTGAAGGTGGTGTGACGTGGCTGATGGTCAGGCCCACGTCGTTAGAATGAGTTTACAACCAGTACTTAATGAGCTTTCAAAATAAGACTAGAAGTGTAACAGTTCACATTTACTAAAACAAATTCCTTTTTGGAGCACTTTTGCATATATGACCTCCTTTAATTCTCCCACCAGCATCACCTCTTCCCCACGGGCAGCAGGGTCGCCGAGGGAGGGGGGTGAGTGGTTTGCACAGTTGGGGTGGAGCCAGCACCAGGGCCCAGGTCTCCTGACTTCCAGCCCAGGACTCTTTGCCTTAGACCTTGGGGTCACCAGAAATACCGGCTCAGCCCGTGGCATGTATCCGGACCCCAAGAGCCTCCCTGGGGTGTGGGGACAGGCCCAGGGGCAGCTGAGGGTGACAGGCCAGTTCAGCGCCTTCCACAGCCTGCGTATCACCCTTCCCTGAAGCCTCTCAGAGCCGTGGCTCTGGGGCTGACACATCTAAGACTTTGCTCATGGCTGCTTTGTGTCCTTAGCTCTGACTGCTCCACTTTCTCCTCATCCCAGGCCTAAGCTGAGGGCAAATTTTGGGGTCACAGTGCCCATCCTCGCCCCCGGGCCCAAGGGTCTCGCCCCAGCTCAGGCCCTCAGAAGACGGCTCTTTTGTTGAAGCATCATCAGGAAGGGCTTCTGTTGTTCCTTTCAGTATCTATCATTGCTTCGGAAGTTCTTCTTGTAGTCTGACCTCAGGCGACCTTGGGGATTTTATCAGAAAACATCCAGAGAGAGACGACATATTAAACAAAGAACTAGCAAGCAGAAATGTTTAATGCTGAGCCTGATCTAACCAGCTTTCAACGATAGTGGTCGCGGAGTTTGGGAGAGGCCGATGGATCAACGTGGCTTCTCTCTTGGCAGTCTCTTCCTGCTCCCCTGGACCAGACACAAGGTGTTCTCTGCATCCCCCCACCCTGGCCCACTGGGCCCTCCCTATTACCTTGTTGATGAAGGATGCAAACCGGTTGTTGAGGCACTTGATCTGCTCCTTCTCGTCCCTCTTCACCCTCTGAACGGTCGGGTCAATCTCCAGCTCCAGCGGGACCAACAGGCTCTCGTTGATGGTGACAGGGGCAATGCAGGCAGAAGGCCCACAGGCGGCCCCCAGTCGGTACCCGAAGCCAGGCAGGCCGCACCTGGAGGCGACCCGAGGCCTCCCAAAGCCCACATTGCACAGGCTCCGAGAGCCGAGGCAGCCCAGGGCATGGAAGCCCGCACTGCCCCCGGGCCGGCATGGCCCCTTGCTCGCTGGGTAGTGGGTGACCACCCGCGGGAGGATGGCCGAGCTGGAGCTGAAGCTCCGACTGCCACAGCTGGAAGCCTGCTGGAAGGAGCGGCACGACATGGCCGGAGAGAGGCAGAGAGACTGGGCCTGGTGGGGAGCACGGGAGGCTGAGTTATCGAGGCAGCTTGGCTTCCACCCTTATATCTGGTAGGGGGATGGAGGGCTGACCTAGGTCAACCCCCAAATCACCATTAAGTCACGTTTACGAGCTTGGGATATTGGCAGCTGCTAAGTACCAAGGTGGATAATTAGGGTAGCAAAGAGCAAAGAGAAGGAGCCAATGGCCAGTGCTGGTGGGCCCTATAAAAGTCCCATTTGTCCTCCTTCCTTGTTTATGGGAGTGATGACAGGGGCCAACTAGGCAGATGTTTGGCCATACTCAGTGGCTCAGCCTCAAGGAAAGGGAGAGCTGGGACTTTATGCCATTTCATGGGGTGTGTTGGGGGGGACATGAATTATATACCCCACTGCTCTGGGACTAGAGTCAAATTAGATATGCTTGAAGATGCTCTGTGTATTTCCCCAAAGCTGTTTTGTATTTTTCTGCAGATGCTCCAGACCCAAGGGCCCTCCATGGGCTCCTGGGTGATCCTAGCAGCTCCTGGGCAGGAAGGCTTTTGGGGTGGGAGAGGCCTCCTGAAGCAGGCTGGAACCTGCCCCTCCTCAGGCCAGGCAGCATCCCGGCTCTGGCTCGGCCACCCCCTGTCCCTCTAGGGCTCCTGAGATAGAAGGCTCCAGACATAGCCTCTTGTTTCCAGGGCCCATTTAGTCCAAAAAAGGCTGCAGGGGACTCAAGAGGAGATGCCCTGTGCTTGAGGAGGGGGGAGGAAGGGATACTCTCCCCAAGATTCTTGGGGACCCCAAAACATGCATGGATGTCAGCCATCAGGTCGGGGTTCCATGTCGCTGTTCTCCTTTCTTGCCACTCATCCCGAGCTTCCCTGAGGTTGACAGAGCCTGCTTTCGCCCAAGGACATCTCTGGGGACCATCACTGCCCTCTGGAATTGTTCAGGTAGGTGCAGGATACAGGCTTTCTCCCCAGCACCCAGGTCGTATCTCTTTGGAGATGCTTGAAACCACCCCCTTCTCCTCCAGCCCCGTTTCCATCAATCTCATCAGTGTAACCACTGCTGTGGCTGCCTGGTCTTTCCCTTTCATACTGTGACTTTGTTCCAGGTCAAAATCAAGTCAACAATAATAATAGTAACATTTACTGGCTGCTTACTATGTGCTGGGACCACCGTGAGGTCTCCACCCATTATCTCATTTAATTCTTATGACGACACCATGATGTAGTTTCTATTTTACAGATAAGCGAGTGGCTGTAACTCCCCAAGCCACACAGCTTGTCCGTGATAGGCTGGGATCCAATCTCATTCTTTCTGATGCCACCGAGCTCTGCTGCTCTGGTGGAGAGAAGCTGGATTAGGATTTGGGGGTCTGCTACCAAATGCATTATGTCAACTCTGTTCCTTGGCTTCCCCACTGTAGATTAGGAGACTGGAACTCAGAAGTTTCTTGTGCTTGGAAATTCTCAGTCTACTTGTGACATTTCATATTGTCCCCTTTTACACAGTCTTGACTTTGGGTCCTAGAGTGCTGGGAGGGAAGATCGGGGCTTGGAGAGGTGAGGGGTGTAACATGAGACCATGGGCAGTGGGGGAGGCAGAGATGGGGTGGGGTGGGGTCCTGCTGGAAGGTGTCAGGGGAAGGGGATTCTTACTCTGCCCTGTAGTAAGCGTCACAGAGGTGGGCCCAGGAGATGTGTTAATGGTGACGGTGACCCAAAGAAGCCAGACCAGAGAGCAGACTCCGCCAGAGGGAACAAATGAGACATCGGGCAGAACCGTGAGGCAGGGTTCACAGGAGCAGTGTGGACACAGGAGAGCCTCCTCTGCCACATCCAGGCTGGTGACAGTCTCGGTGACTGTGTCGGGCTCCCCGCAGCCCAAGACCAGCGCTCGGGAGCAGAGGTAGGATGGTTCAGTGGATTCGTTGTGGGCAGAAAGCACTTGCTCCAGAGAACACCAGTTCCAAGGTTGCCCTCTGAGTGTGAAACGGGACACAGACTCAGTCAAGACCTAGAGAGCTCGGTGACATTTTATTGAAGCTATGTCAGGAAACAGGCAGGCACAGGGAGCGGGCAGTTCAGAAGGGTTTGAAAGGATCAGAGGGGTAGTGACATTTTTCTGGAGCAGTGAACTTCCTGTCTGAAGCACAGCAGCCAGTCTCTACTTGCCTTGGGAATGCATTCTGGTCTTGAATGCCTGGCAGGTGTCTTGAGGGTTTACAATCCTTCAAACTAAGTAGGGAAACCACCCCGTGAAGGCCAGCCTCCAAAAGATCTCCTGCCTAACCCACTCTCTAGTCCAATACCCTCCCACCTCTGCTTCCTTCAAGGGGCTGAGTAACGCGCCCCCTCAGCGCGAGGAATGGACAGCGCCCCCTCTTCCGAGTTGGCTCTCTTGAGCCTTCCCCGTGGGGCAGGGAGTCTGGTGGACTGCCTTCAAGAGTTTCGGTTCTGGCTAGGGCTGGGGACGGGCAAATCCACATTGTAGACATTTTAGAGACAGGGAGATGGAGAAAGAAAAGTCAGGAGAGAGAGCAGGAAATAATATTGCCAAACGGATGAGTGGGAGAGGAAGAAAAGGGAGAGATAAAGGTGAGGAGAGGGATTAAGAGAGGAGACGGGGTGGTGGAGGATGAAGAGAAGAAGGAGGGAGGGTGGACGAGAAGGTAGAGAGGAGAGAAAACTTTCCAGAAGGGAGATGTGGCTGGCACAGAGGAAAGAGAGCAAGTCCTGAGCCTAGAGGGTTATTTTGCAGGAGGACTCTCCCAGGGCAGTCCTAACACAGGCTAATTGGGGTTCTTTTCCTGGTGCGTCTATTGCAGGCGTCTGGTGCTGAGCTGCCTTCCCCACACCCTCACGTGGGCCTGCCTCCCCCTCCTCCTCATCAGGATTTCAGTTTGGGATGGTAATTCTAATATTGGCATAAAAGAGGCAGATTTGGAAGGAATTCGGCTATGAACTATCATCTAATATAGCCCCAGGCCGTGGAGAACTTTGGGTTCTTGATAAAATTATTCCCTTCTAGTTTGAACAATCGAGTTGGTAATATTTTGAAGGGTGCTGATTTCTCACTCAAATATTCTGCTGGTGGGAGTTGTCAGGGGAAGCGGCTGGGGGCCTGGGCGGGCACAAGGAGGTTGGTAAGGAGGCAATATGTGGGCAGGGCTTGCAAGATTCCCTGGCCTGAGGGGCCTGCAGGAAAGTGTTCTGTCTGCAGCGGGAAACCACACACGTGGGGACTGTGGCCTAGACTGCATCAACTTCTTTAGGGGCACCAGGTCAATTCTAAGCGCCCCCTGTGAAGCACTGTGGTTGCAGTGGATCGGAGTCGGACAGGAGGAGGAAGACCCTTGCTCTGGAAGGGCACAGTCCTACCCACGCCTTGGCACAGAGCAGCTGAGTCAGCATTAGTTGGAATGGATGCCGGTGGACCCTGGAGAGCCTGGGATGAGGAACGAGTGGGGTACCTTTGTGGGGACCTGTCTGGAGGCAGATGGATGGACAAGGTGACCTTAGAACTCACAGGCCACCTACCCGCTCCCGTGCCTCCTGCTACTGATTTGTGCATGGGGTGTCAGCAAAGCGGCAGGCCTTAGGGCTGGGAATTGGGGCTTGCGGGGAGGCAGCGGAGGCAGGCGGGGCCCGTTAGCTCCTGTAACTCTTCTTGGTGGATGAAGTCTTGGAGATGATGCGCACGCTGGAGGTGCCGCCCACGCTGCGGCCGCTGGTGGAGCTGAAGCCCCCACTGCTGCCGCCGTAGCTGAAGCCACTGCTGTAGCCGCCCCCACTGTAGCCTGAGCCCCCGGAGGAGGAGACCACGGCTGTGGAGAGAAGGCACAGGGCACACTGCAGGCTCCTCCAGTGTCCCAAGACCCACCCTCCCCAGATCTCCTGCCCGGGCTGCTCCCTTCCATGGTGCTTCCCCGGGGAACAGGCATCTCCTCGGTCCCCGGGGGCCAGAGTCAGAGAGGGTGGCAGGGACTCGCCATCCCCATCACACATGGCCTCAGCGTGGGCATCGTGCGCACAGGACATCACAACTTTCAAAGCACTTTCACAGCTGGGACCACGTGGATCTCAACAGGCCCAAGAGGACACCATAACTACGATTGCCCCCATTTTATAGGGGAAAAAATGGACATGCAAAGACAGCAAGTGACATGTCCTGGGTCACACCTGCCAGAAACCAAGGCTTTAGGCCCTTCTGCTGTGTTCATTCCACATCTATACCAGGGGCTCTCATATTGGATGGAACATGAGGCCTCATATCTCTGTGGGGATCATAGACTCCCATACTGGTAGAGGCACAAAGGCCGTCCAGATGATCCTCCCCCAGGACTGGAATCGCCTCTACTGCATCACTGAGAGGCAATCACTTAGCTTCTGCTCAAATACTTTCAGTGACAGGGAGCTCACGACCTCAGGCTGCAGCTCTCCACAGCCTGTCAAACGTTTGGAGATGCCCCTTTGACCTCCCCTCTCAGTGTCCATTTCTCCAGGGGAGGCATTCTTGTTCGTTTTATTAATTGGTTTCAAGCTCCCCTCTACCCTGGTTTTCCAGCCTTGCTAATGTGATCTGACCCACATGGGGCCCAAGGGGACTCTACTTCCCGTGCCCAGGACTCAGGGCCCCACAGACGCCACCTGAGCTGTGCTGGGTCATTCTGTGAGATGATCCCTCCCCGCCTCCCTCCTGTGAGCTGAGGCCAAGCCAGGTCAGTTGCTGCTCTACTTGTTCAACTAATTTGCATCAATTCTATATACGAGTCTTCACCTTTAAACTGTTTAATAGCCTCCTGTTAGTTATGTGAGTTTAGATTCCTGCCAGAACTAGCTGAGAAATCAGGCATTCAGGCTGGGGACCCACTGCCCTGCTGGTAGTCCTGTGCCTGAACTGGGGTCCTCTGGGGCCAGGGTGGAGTCATTTCTGTGGTCATGTGACCCCACTGGGACCAGCCCTGGGAGTGAGGGATCACCACTCATCTCTCTTGACCCCACTGGGAAGAAGGGCCAAGGAAGAGAGTGGTCCTGTGGGGACCTGAGAAGGTCCTAAGGACCTCCCTGCCCGGTTTGTTCATTATCATCCTTGTTAGTAATGCTATTAGCTTCCACTTTGTCTCCCGCTTTTCTATTATCCCAAGACATTTACTCACAGATGTTCACGGGTCCGACACCTTCTCCAGTGAGTCTGTGGCAGGTGGGGAGAGAAAGAGACATTTCATTTGCTGAGAAGTATTTGAAGTTACCAGCACAGAGTGCTGTGTGCGGGCTCTGTGCTTAACAAGGTTTTCATTCATCTCGTTAGCTTTAGGAAGCTAATGTGAATCCGCGAGGGGACATCTAGCAGAGAGATCAGGTCAAGATATATAGAGAAATGGGGAGAGGGACCGTGCTCACTAGGTGGACAGGGATAATCAGATGACAGGCATCTCTGGGTAAACAGGAGCCACTAAGGCTCATCCCGAGTGTGGCCTCCTTTGTCATAGGGTCTTGGCAGAAAGGCCTTGCTTATGATCTTCCAGGTGGTCATGGGCTGCCTCTCCCTGACACCTCTCCTCCTGCCCCCTGCCCTGGGTCCAACAGGAGCTACGGGAGTGTCTGCGACCACTGGACGCCTCTAGGGAGCAGCTGCGTTTTAACACGGTTTCTGCCCTTGGAGTTTCCACCTGGGGCCTGACACTGTGGGGCTCCGCCTCTGTGGCATTGCTGTAGTGCTCTGGAGGCGACCGACTGAGCCATGCTAGGAGGAGAAGGTGCTCACCGGCACTCCTCGCCCTCCAGCAGCTTGCGGTAGGTGGCGATCTCGATGTCCAGGGCCAGCTTGACGTTCATGAGCTCCTGGTACTCGCGCAGCTGCCGCGCCATGTCCTGCTTGGCCTTCTGCAGGGCGTCCTCCAGCTCGGTCAGTTTGTGCTTGGCGTCCTTGAGGGCCAGCTCCCCACGCTGCTCAGCATCTGCGATGGCGGCCTGGAGCGTGGCACACTGCCGGGAGGACACGGGAGTTTGTGAAATCGTCCACGGGGAAGGCAGTAAGATGTGGGCTTCAGGTTAAAAATGTGGAAGAATTTCCTGAAATGGATCTCATGCAAAGGAGGTTGGAGCTTCATCATCTTCAAAAATAAGATTAATCTCGGGGCCGTCCAGGTGGCGCAGTGGTTAAGCGCGCGCGCTCCGCTTCCGGGGCTTGGGATTCACAGGCCCGGATCCCCAGCGCGTACCGATGCACCACTAGTCAAGCCCTGCTGTGGCAGCGTCCCATATCAAGTAGAGAAAGATGGGCATGGAAGTTAGCCCAGGGCCAATCTTCCTCAGCAAAAAGAGGATTGGCATTGGATGTTAGCTCAGGGCTAATCTTCCCCTCCCACACACAAAAATAAAATAAAATTAATCTCTGTTCCCCTTGGATAATCTGAGATGTAGCCAGGTGGGGGAAAAGGATTTTGGGGGTCTTTTTCAATGCTGAACTTCTCTGGATAGTGGGTAAGCAAAGCCGTTCACAGTTGTGCCATGTACGCCTCCCAAGGCCAGAACCTTTTCTAGAGGAACTGATGCTGGATGGGTCTCAGAAAGAAGGTCCGCACCGCCTTGGTGAGGTGGGAGACGGCGCGTTTACACTCCGGGATGGTCACTCACCTGAAGAGGCCTCTCTCTGCACGGGCTGAGTTAGGCCCAGGCCAGGTCTGCCGGGGGCGGGGGTGTGGATGGGAGGCACCGGGAGCTCAGCCCTACCTGCTTCTTCAGGTTGTCGATCTCAGAGCGCAGCCTCTGCATCATCCGGTTCAGCTCGGAGATCTCCATCTTGGTGGTGCGGAGATCGTCCCCGTGCCGACCAGCAGACCGCTGCAGCTCCTCGTACTGGGGGGAAGGAGGAGCGGGAGGCAGGCATGGTCAGGCCAGAGAAGAGAAGGTGGCGGCTTCCGGGGGCCCGACAGCTTTCCATAGCGCTGCTTGAGGAGCCCTTCCGTTGGCCGCACTACTGTGCATCAAATCCCTCCTCCTTGTCTCTTGGCTCCGCCTCTCTGTCTCCCTATCCTCAGGCTCCACCCACAGCCGAGACTCTTCTTCCTGGATCTGGTCTTTGTTCTCTCATCCTCGAGACCAGGAAGCTCACCGTCACAAACTCAGCGTTACGCCGGGGTGCCTGTCACTCTCTGGTTTTAAAGCTCTTTCGTATTTGTTTTCTGTGGCACCACATCTCATATCCCCAGTGACTCCGCAGCTCAGAGTATCTGCTCTAACCTGGAAAATCTCACCGTGTGCCCCATGTGGAGCCTTTGCCCCCAGCCCCCAGCCCCCAGCCGGTTCCACCTGTCTTCTCTGGATCCAGGAGGCTAACCCTTCCTCTTGTTCCCACGTTCTCTCTCTCTCGCTCCTGCTGGCACTGATGGCTGGGACTGTCCAGCTGTCCCTCGTGTCTCCTCTACAGGACATTGGAGGTGTGTCCGTCCTCTCCAATGGCAGAAGGATTGGCCACCTCCCGCCTTCCTCTGGTTATTCCCCAAAGAGAGCTCAGAACAGGGTGAGCCCGAAGCTGAACTCAGATCCCTTAGAACCCATCAGACTGGGACGTCTGAGAGGACAAGGCTCTTATCTACTTTGCCTTTGAAATTCCAGTTCTCTACGATTGTTTCATGAACTTGACCATGACACCCCACCTTGATCTGGTACCAGGACTCAGCCTCGGCCCGGCTGCGGTTGGCGATGTCCTCGTACTGGGCCTTGACCTCGGCGATGATGCTGTCCAGGTCCAGCTTGCGGTTGTTGTCCATGGAGAGGACCACGGAGGTCTCGGAGATCTGGGCCTGAAGCTGAGCCAGCTCCTGTGGTGGGGCCCAGAGAGGAGAGCTGAAGTAGGGCGTGTGTGTGTGCATGTGTGTACATGTGTATGTGCATGTGTGTTAGGAGACTGTGACCAGGCCTCCGGAACAGACCCTGGCGTGGAGGGCCTCACTTGCACTGCTGGGGTGGAGCATTCTGCTTAGGTCTGAAAGGGCTGGGAAGGATGTCAGAGAGGTCACTGAGTTTACGCCCGTTCTTTATCGTCACCTCATCTGCACAGAGGGAGCAGCAGCACAGGTGACTCTATCAGAATTCTCCAGAGCTCACTCCCATGGTGGAGGGAATGCACCCGCCGTGACCTGTCAGAGCCGTGATGTCTCGTGTTCTGAGAAAACACAGACTTTCACACCAAATAGAGAAGTCATCTTATGAAAGAAAAGTAAGTCAGAAGGAGCCAGAAAGCTCTGCTGCGTCCCAGTCCTGTTTCCCAACTGCGCTCCGCCCCGCTCCTCGGGCGTGGGAAATGGAAATTAGCTGGAAACAGCAGAAAGGGCACCAGACTGAAAAATTCAAGTCTTGGATCTGCCAAGCAGGTTCAACAGCATTGCTGAGTCTCGGGGGGCTAGTCATAGCGCTAAAGTCATATGCTTTCTGTGAGGATCAAATAAATTCATGTCGCTATAAGATGGTTGTGGAGACGGAAAACCCACCATTAATTTGTTAATGATCGCTCTTCAGAATCACCTAAGACGATGGTTCCCAAAATGTGATGCTCAGACCAGCAGCATCAGCATCACCCGGGAACTTGATTGAAATGCAACGTTTTGGGCCCCACCCAGACTTACTAAATCAGAACTGATGTTCTAACAAGACCTCTAGAAGATTCTGATGAGCCGTAAAATTTGAGAATCACTGGTCCAAAGCACACATCTAAGTAAAAATATCATTTTCCTTTCTTTATTTGCAATTGGTTCATGCATTTCCTGCTTCCGGAAATTATTTTGTTGTTGTTGTATTGCAATTTGTTTTTCCCCAAATAGTTTTTCCTGGTAGTTGACCTAGCTTGGGGGTCTCAGCCCATAGATTTGCTGTTCAGAATTAGGAGCCAGCACTGCACTGGTTGTCACCATTGAAGTGAATAAGCAGAGGAAACGATGCCTTCCCCCCCAGGTGGGCTGCGGGATGGTCATTGAACCTGTTTGAAGACACAAAGCCCATCCTCCTGCTCCCGGAACACCACCAGTTTCTGTTGGGTGCCAAACATATGTAACGCCCTGGGCATATCACCCGTCCTTACCAGGCCCACCTGGAGATGCACAGTGCATCCTAGGCCCCAGTCTCAACATCTGATCCCATCTCCACCACTCACTCTACTCCAGCCACCGCGGCCTCCTCCTGGATTCCTGGATCCTCACTTCCCTCAGGTTCCTCTTCACATCTAACCCACCATCTGGCCCCCGTTGTAATTTTTCTCCATCGCCCCTACTGCGCCTGAAATGATGTAGTTATTTGAATCTCTCTATGTGGGCTGTATCCCCCACTGTCATGGAAGCTCCAAGATCTTAGGGGCTTGACTGCATTCGCTCAGCGCTGCTCCTGCAGCACGGAGAGCAGTGTCTGGTGTACAAAGGCACACAACAAAGCGTGTCTTCGGAGAGCCGGGCATTTGTGTTGTGTGCTTCTACAAGGACCTGAGGGCTCGCTAATTGCCTCGATTTGCATAATTGCATCATCCTGCAGCTGCTCCAGGGAGAGTGGCAGGTAAATTTGAGCTGGGCTGGGTGAGCCAGGTTGCTCAGATAGTTCTATGGAAACCATGCATAATTCAACAATTATACTTCATAATTCAGGCAGTTCTTCTGTCTGGCCAACAGAGCATGCCTGGTCTAGGTGGTCAAGGTTGAGTCTCTCCCCTTGCCTGACCCACCAGCTGCCCTAGGGACCCTCATTTTGCCCTTTGGCAGGGGAAGCAGCATCTGCTCCGTGAATTCCAACTCAGGGATGGGGCAAGGAGCAGAGGGGAGACCAGGGAAGGAGCCACAGCCTCTGTGCCCAGCCGAGGCCCCCTGCCTGCAGCCCTCCTGAGGGGGAGCACTTGGCACTGCTTACCGCTTCATAGAAAGTTCTCAGGAAGTTGATCTCGTCCATTAGGGCGTCCACCTTGGCCTCCAGCTCCACCTTGTTCATGTAGGCGGCATCCACGTCCTGGGCACAGAACAAGCTGTCACTGAGTCCCCTTCTTCCCGGTTAACCAGCCCCTCTGTTTGTGGGAGGTGCGGGAACTTAAGCTTTCGGGGATGAGAGCATTTCTCTGTTCTAGGCTCTGGGATGGCACTTGCAGGGGGTCCACATGTGTGAGGACTAGGGCTCTCAGGGAACACCACCTGCTCACCAGCTGGTGCCAGGTGGAAAGATCTCCTCTGTCCTCTCCACGTGATGAGGACAACCCCAGCCTGGGCGCTTGGGCCTCCGCTGCCTCTGGCCTCTCCCAGCTGTGGACTCCCCTCCTCCTCACACTCTGCCCCACCTCCCCGTCACACAGCGCTGCTCCATCCTTCCTCCTCCAGCTTAGCTCCAGGGTTGATTCTCCCTGTCCCTTGGCCGGCCCCCACTAAGCAGGAAGGTCCACAGCCTATGGAGCTGATTTCTGTCCTGCCCTCCTCTGTCCTCCTGAGACAAGCTCCACAAGAGGCCTGTTTTGCTTCCCTCTCGCCGTGCTGGACTCCAGGTGGCGTGGGGGCTGGTGTTGTGATTTCCAGCTCAGACCTCAGGGTCGTGGATCCTGACTCCCTCCTGATTATCTGGGTAACCTCGGGCAACTTGCTTAACCTCCCTGAGCCTGAGTTTTCTCACTTCTAAGGTAAAACTTGCCTCCAAGGTTGGTTGCAGAAATTAAATAAAGCCTGTATGCAAGGCCACTGGCTGAAGTGGCATCTCTCGCTCCCGGAAGGGGCTACCTGGGCCTAGGAGTCAGGAGGGAGCATCCTTTCCCCGTCCCCTCACCTTCTTGAGCAC